CAGACAAGTGCGAGACTTTATATGCAAGTGATGAATTTGAATGCATGTATTAGGAAAGTACCAAACTTTGATGCAAACAAAGTGGATGCCAAGTGAGAATTGGACATGAACGAACACTTCAAACATATTAATACAAATGATGTAATGCTTGATTCGGTGTTAGGATGTTTATGAGGTGTCATTGACAAATTTCATTTTGTTTCTTTTTTCTTTTCAAAGAAAATCATAAAATGATTATTTTCTTTAGAAAAAGCAAATCTATGCAAAGTCCTTTCACCCTTTTTTTTTATCCTATTCAAATTCATGAAATCCTGTTATTTCCTTTTTTGTCAATCGTCGAAAAATGATCTCACAATTTATCTTTTCAAACTTATCCCACCTAGAATCAAGTGAGACTCATTTGGCCTAACTTATCAAACGAACGATTATTACCATCTTGTCATTCCCTTTGAAACATCATTTAACCAACATGTATAACAATGACAAATGATTTTTTTTGGAAGACTATTCAAAAAGAATATTTGAACGTGACTTTATTTTGATGTAGAGAAAATAGAGCAAACTACACCAAGATATGACAAGATTTGAGAACCTGGTGGGAATAAGAGATTGAGCAATTGCCCCAATTTGATGTCAAATTGATGGAGTGAAACATGGAAGAATTTAGACTAACTTAGACTTTGAACAAGTGAGGCAAATGATCACTTTAGACTCGAGTGGATAGAATCAAACAGTGACACGTATGAGAAGGATAACCCGTATTTAGAATGGTGGAATATGGATGATACAGGCATTGACTTGATTAAATTTGAGACACATGGATTATATGGTTGGAATGAAAATGTGATGATAGTTGAGAACTTATCCCGGTATAAAAAGGAGTACTTTGAGTTGCCCCAGTTTATGAAGAAATAGGGAATAAAGTTGGATTAGACAATTATTCCAATCAAAGATTAAGGTGATGAAATGACAATGAGATCTTTTGCCTCAGTGTGAAGTGGTTGTTCCAATTTAGTTTTGAAAGGCAGGGTTAGAGTAGGAGACACTGATGAATGTGATTGTTTTGTTTTCTAACTCAAGGAAATAACATTGATGTATGAATTGATGGAAGAGTAAGACATAAAACAAATGTCTCATTTAATTGGGTAAGGGGGAATCAAAGGAAGGCATGACTTGTGATTTGTTCCCAATCTATCCTTTTGAATGATTCTCATTATTGAGCATAGTAATCAATGAACATTGATGAATAGAAGATTTTTCCCTGGATGTTTGTTTTTCTCCATGATGTAATGGATGTGCAAGTCTTACGAGCATTTGTATATTTTTTTTTTGGAGCAATCGTGTTAACAATGATAGATGAGTTCAATTGTTTTGTCTTAAGACTCAACTTTAAAAAAAACAACCAATTTTTGATCTGTATGGACTTTACTGGGTTGTAATATTGGTCGGTGAGATGGATACAAAGGCCCAAATGTGTGTTTGAAGGTTATTTGAAACAAGGATTTTTTCTATAGTGTTGGCTTCAATGTTTTATTCGATTTCTTTTCCTCGCCCCTCTTTTTTTCACCCCGACTTTTGTCTAGGTTTGTATTTATTTGCTTTTAATTTAGTCTGATTGACAGTTTTGGTTTGGTTGTTATTGTTGGTTTGGATGGATTTGGATTTGCTGTTGTTGGTAGCTTGAAACCTTGCCCTTCATGTGCCTGGAAGTTTTTGAATGCCATTGGCATTGGTTTTATGTTGAACTGAAGCATGAGTAAGGAAATGAATTTAAAAGGAATAATGAAATTATGTTATTTGAGGTAGTTTCGTTGTTGCTATTTGGGTGATATATGATGATTGATTTTATGGTCTATTGTATTTTACGAAGGGTATTATTGGGTGCCTGCATCCTCGATGATAAATTTCTCAACCATTGGTGTATCTGAGATTTTAGATATTCTTGACCATTAACTCTCACTAATTTTGTGTGGTGGTGTCAAGTGGGCTTGCTGCAGCTTACAAATTGAAATCACATGGTCTGGATGTCACTGTATTTGAAGCTGAAGGAAGAGCTGGAGGGAGGTTGAGAAGTGTTTCTCGGGATGGTCTAATTTGGGATGAGGGAGCTAATACAATGGTAAGTATATAGTTGATCCATATTCAAGCAAATTCCGAAGTCTAAACCAGTGATTTTTTTTCATCAATAAATTATTCTTGTGCGCTTCATTTTAAAGATATATTCACATTAAAGGAGGAGGATTTATAACAAGTTGAATTTAGTCTTGGGAAAATTTCAAATAACACTTCAGATGTTTTAACTAGTTTTAATTTTAAGAAATAAAGTTCATTTTGTAACACAACCCACCTGAGGTTTGGGTAAGGATGAAAAAAAAACATTCTGTAGGTTTTAACATCCTATCAGTAGGGCTAGAAGTGAGTTGACCTAACTTGCAAGCTACTCATCCTTATGTTTTTGAAGGCACATACTCCTCATTTGGACTAACAAAATTTAATGTTTTCAATCTAACACATACATCGGGGGGTTGTGGGTATAGGTTAGTCTCACAGAATAAACTTCATATATAAAAATTGAAAATGACTTAAATATCATGGGGGTTATTTGTAATTTACCCTTTATTCAATATATCCTTATAACAGAAGTTCTTACTATGGATGTTGCCTTTTGTTCTGACGTTTGTCCTAAATTTTGCTTAGACCGCCCTTTTGGGTTTTCAGTCTAACGGACTTTACATTTTTCACTCTTTTTTTTTGCTCATAAGACTTCTCTCCATTAAATGTGGTAGTTGGCGGCCCAAATACTCATAAAAATGATAAATTTGTCTCGATAAGAAATCTTCAAATTTTTGCCAAACTTGCTAATTGAGAATCATCTAATAGACTTGACTTTTTATGAGGACAAATTCTTTATTTTTGAAAGAATAATGAGTAAACTATGAGATGTAATGGGACAAAGACAATTTATGACAATGAAGATAACAACACAACTTGTTATGCAAGTTAATGAAATAAATACTTCAAAAGGTTAACAATGGTTTTAAAATCATGTCAATTGACAAGTTAAATTGTCAAAGAGCTCATCTTCTCGGTTGAGAATTAAATGTAAGTGAGACCAATAATTTCATGTTATTCTCCATTTTTCTTTGTTTCCTGTTTTTCTTTTTTTTCTTTTGAGACATTGCATAAATTTGTTGCTTGGCATCTTCTTTAAAAGAAAATAATCAAATTAGAAGAGTATATATTTTTTTTGTAAATAATTAGACTTTTATTTTACTATAAAATGCATGTATAAAAGAATAATGTTGGAGTGAAGAATTTGAAATGAAAAAAATATTTTTTGTTTTTCTTTTTGTTTTTTTGTTTTTTTGGTTTTTAGAGAAACAAATGTATTTGATTCGCGATGATGAAGTGTGAATTAATGCAATTATGGAGAATGATAAGAAAAGACGATGGATATGTTGATGAATATACCTAACATGATTACTTAATCTAAATAACGCTTATGCGTGAATGTCATGAGAGATTATGTAAATATTGAATGTTATGGGATGCATTTTAGACTAAATGTTCAAATGGAATAATGATCTTACTTTGAATTATGCAAGAGAGAACTTTATTTATTTTCTTTAAGAAACAAGTGTCAATGATGATGACAATTGCAATTTTTTGAAGTTATATGAATGATTTTATAGGATATTATTTTTTATCCAAAGATGTAAAATGCATATTATGAATGAATTATGAAATGTAGATGAATGCATGCATGAATAGTTTTTTTTATTGAGTGTTATATTGAAAGGCGTGAGATATGATAAAAGTTAAAAAAAAAATGTATGATGTGTATTATGAAATGGAATAAAATTTTCTTTTTTTTTTTGCGTCATTCGAATGTAAAGGTAGAATATTGCTCCTGTGATACTTAATAAGGGTATCCTTAAGTTGAAAATTCTATGGACTACTAACACGTGTTCCGATCTAAAAGATTGGTTATAAAGAGTGCAAGACGTGATTCAGTTTTTAAGTGTAATAACACTAGTAATCTTCTTCCCACGTAGACACTCTGTTACGAGCTCTTTTAGTTGAACCAAAACATGAAAACTGTCTAGGGTAATCGATTAACCTGAGCTTGAAAAGTCCTAGATTTTTATATCACTTTGTGGTAATCGATTAACACAATGATAACTTCATTTTTTCAGCCTGATTCCAAGCAAGAGACTCTATTTTAATCTATTACCAGTTTTGGTAATCTGTTACCTCAGAGAATTCTTTAAAAACAAGTTCGGTAACAGACTTGGTAATCTATTAATACAGAGGACATTTGGATATCCTTTCCAGTAACAGGTTTGGTAATCTATTACTCTGAATGGTAATTTGATTAAAAAAAGTTACCTTGAAAACTCTTGTTTTGAATCAAGTAATATTTCTATGTTTAAACCCTTAGTAGTACATTACCCTTTTCAAGATAATCTATTACTTCATGTTTACTCATGGAAATACTTAAAAAAAAACAAATTCTTGGATTTTAAAAGCTTAACAAGTTCTTGAATTAAGCATACATCAAACATAAACAAACACACACACAACCCTATATCTATTACAATCAATACAATGTCCTTTTATATAGTCTCAAACATCTTTTATACAATATCATCAAAACTAACCTTCTTGAGGAGTCATCTTGTTTTCTCCATGATCTTCATCATTTCAACAATCTCCAACAACTTCCACATCATTTTCTTCAAGTAGATGGGTTTACCTATATCCTTACCCTTTGGAGCAACTAAGTGTCAAGTTTGTTAAGTCAGACGAAGCGATTCCCAACAAGGTTTTGAACATGACAAATATAATACATATTGTTATTTCTAACATGTGTGTTAGTATTTCAGATAAATACAAGAACATGCAAAATTGAAGAAGGAAGTACATGTTATTACACATACTTTGGTCAAACCAAACGAAGCTTGGTTGAGTTGTACAAAACATCAGACGATCAAAACCCAGATGAAAATACAATACATACAAGACAAAGCGTACTACTAGTCAAAGGTCAACAAAAGTATCAGACAATGGATAACACAAGACGAAGAAACATTCTAGACGGAATTAAAGTCTTCCATCTTCACAAATGACCAGACAAAAGGAAAAGTCAAACTAGACGAGAGGAAAAGTCAAGCCAGACGAAAGGAAAAGTCAAAGTGTACTTCTCAGATAGAGACTCAAATTTGAGATGCATTTCCAGACGCAGACGAAGAATACTAAAAAATGTCTGAAGTCCCCTATTCATAACGAGAGATATCAAAAATCGTCTACACTCATAGAAGAACACACGAAGTCATCAAAATTATGAGAAGAAAGAAGAAAGATAAACAAGCACGTATCCATGAGTCAAATCTGCGAGTGTCAGAGACAGTACACCTACTTTTCAAAAAAAGACAATGTCTCTGCAACTACAATGACAGAAAGAGAAAAGAAAATACCTAGGTTATGATTGAAGTTAGAGATAAAAGTGAACGAACTACACAAAATACTTCACGTAACATAGATTCAGTAAGCAAACATTTAATGCAAGATCAAATGCATTAAATGAAAGATCTATTTAGTCATGAACGAACTACTATCTGCGCCAACGGGAAGAACACATTTAGGCGGGGTAGGTCAATATTTTCAGTCCATTTTTCAATGGCAAGTCGATCTAGCCTGACCCGTTTTTGGCGGGCCGGGCCAAAACGGTTCGGATTGACCCGTTTTGCCACCCCTAATTTTATGGAGAGGTTATTGGGGGCAAAGAGTAGTGTGACAATTTTGGAGAGTCTTGTTTGGCCATATTTTCATCTTGTTTTTCATTTCTAGAATTCTAATCAATGTTGAATTTATATGCATGTCAACCAATCCAAAATCACTTGGTTTGATTTTTCTGATAAAGGATGATAAACATATAAAATTTCTATACACCACAAGGGCATACAATATTTACTATTATAAATGTTGCAGGGCATTTCTTCAACCAATTGTAATCTCATTCTCATATTATTAATCAAAGGATTATATTCTGATTCATAATTTAGTCGTATTACAAATCATCCATATTCTCAACAAAAAATAGTTTAATGGGATACTTACCGTAAGATAAGTTTTTCTATTCAACTGCACTAATTGAAATTTTTTTAGAAGTTTCAATGTATAATATGCAATTTTTAGTTGTGTATTATGTAATATGGACCATTTAGCTTATAATAAATGCAATTCCAGTTCAAATAATGTTTGACCAACGAAAGACTCGCCCCACAAGCGCCAATTTTAGGCATTGTGTGGATTTTCATCTTGTTTTTCATTTCTAGAATTCTAATCAATGTTGAATTTATATGCATGTCAACCAATCCAAAATCACTTGGTTTGATTTTTCTGATAAAGGATGATAAACATATAAAATTTCTATACACCACAAGGGCATACAATATTTACTATTATAAATGTTGCAGGGCATTTCTTCAACCAATTGTAATCTCATTCTCATATTATTAATTGATTAAGATTGAGATTTTGTTTACTGTTACAGCCAATATCACAGCATAAGCGCTATATTGTGAAAAATGGGGAACCACTTCTGGTATATCTTGCTTATAACTTTTGTCTCTTTTTAAAATGTTGATTCCTACTTTCTATTTCAAATTATTTGAACTTTTCTAAAATGGGATTTTCATGTTTTTTTCTTCTATATTTGTCTCATAATAAATATAACATGTGGTAACCTTTTAAATCAGGTACCCACAAATCCTGCTGCATTACTGAAGAGCAAACTGCTTTCTGCACAATCCAAGGTTTTATTCCCACATGTCTAAGGATCTTCCAGCTTCTTAAGCTTTCAAATATTTTTATTATCATTCAATGTTTTCTATTTGGTTAATGTTACTATAAATGTACACTCAAACACTTTTCAAAATACTCCACTACAATTCATTGCATAACATTTCAAGCCTCGCTATAACTTTTCTGAAGGTATGAGATTCTGAAATACCTCCCACAGCATGTGTAAATATTTTTTTTTCTTTGGATTTTTTGTTTTGGTGATTGTCAGTGTTAAAGATCTGATTTGATTTATTGTAAATAGGGGAACTTGAA